AATTATGAACGAAGATGATGATTTTCTTACGCACGTTGGCATCGTCAACCGTGAATGCGAACGCTTTCGGTCGAAGTCTTTGTCGGAAGATCAGTTTAAAGCCCTTATACTCATCTGCTGCATTAGATAAGATGCATATTGTTGATGAACAAAAAAATACACAACGACAGTTTTGGATCTAAACTCTTATGATTCTGTAAGAAAAAAAGTGAATTTCAAATCGGCATGCTTAGGTCTCAATCAATTTGATTGTGACCAATTCGGTCACTTGGTAGCTGCCTACACTGTGGAAGGGTTCTGCTTGTCAGAAGGGACATCGGCCTGATGACTTCCAAAAGAACTCGGCTTTCATCATGGAAAGTCATAACTCTTCTAAATGAAGACCTTCTAACTCCCAGAGCAGGATTTATATGGTTTGAACTACTTTTTCTTGTTAGCGTTTTTTTAGCGAGGCCTAAATCATCAAATTATGCAACCAAACAAACTGAGAAGACAATCAAAGAAATGCATTTTAAAAAACAATAATAAGACAAGACAATAAGTTGACAAAAATAGAATAATCAGTTGATCAGAAATTAAAACGAGATGACAATAATATGAGTGAATATATCTATCTGTGCAGTGATAATCTATTGCTGGCCTCATGTGTATAGTCACTACTGGAAAAGTCCTACTGCTTGTCTTTTAGCGGCTGGGGTGCAGTTTACGAAAATGAGAGGACGAAAAGCAATTGTCCGGAGCCTAAACTGAGTTGGTGGATACTGGGGACGTTAGATCGCCAGAATTCACTTGTAAAATGTCCTGATTTTGTAATTTGATTCCGAATTTTATGTTTTCGCTCTAGAAGACGCTAGTTTTGACCTTGAACTTGCATTTCCCACTCGGAAATCCTCGACTGTCATTGGCTGATGGATTATTTTAGTACGCTCTCATCAAGGGCGTTTTATCATTATATAAATAAGCTTGAGTTGTGTGCTTGTTGACCTCGTATTATTGGGTGCCTATGGAATACTTTCTCTACGTCTTATCAAGACTTCTAGTGTGGCCTGGGACGATCGGATTAGAATAGCCTGTCGCGTCACCGCCTCGCTGATCTTTGTTCCGTTAACCGAGTAGGTGAACTCGTAACAGCATCCAAACATATCGGTTGTTACTGATAGTGTCTGGCCAATGGATCCGAAGTAGTTTTCGTAGACAACTGTTTCTGTCCAAAATTACTCTTATCTGATGTTGTAATAATATTGTCCAGAAAACCAATGAAAGCTCCATGATTGAAACATTCAGTTGAGAAAATACAACTTGATCGAAATGATTGCACACTTTTTAGCGTTTTGTATTCAACTAGTTTTGAAATTATTCGTTATGTGCTTTAAGTTTCTTGAAATCTTATCTTTTCTCTTGTAAACTGTAGGCTAAGTGTGAACAGAATAACACCATTCGTATTATTTATAGTCATTGAAAATAATAAACCATTTTTTTCACTACAGACATACACAGAAAATTAGAATACTACATTCACCAGAGGAATATTGGTTTTAATGAAATTAAAAATTTAATTAAATTTTTTCAATAAAAGAATTTATTGCTTCATAAATAGCACTATTCAGAACTAATGCTTCAACCAACATCAGTGATCAACTTCAATTTGTAGGTACTGTTACGAATGGATCTAGTGTATAACACCTTTTACATTCTGTAGTCGTTTGATCAGAAACAGATGAACAAGATTTTTTGTAAAGTTATCTAGATCGTGTGCTGTTACGAGTATGAGGGCGGTTGTCACTTCCCGGCTACCCACACTCCGGAAAGGTGTTTCTTGAGGAACCTGAAAAAGTGGGTAGATTAGTGTTGGTCTTAGAGACCGGAGAGCGTGACCGCAGGGGCCAAATGACAACTGCTTGAAGCCAGTCACGCACGGCCTTTTTATGGGAAGTTAGCTACGCTCTTGTTGAAAAGGCCTTGCCGCCGGAGAGGTAGGGTGAGGTGTGACACTTTTAGCGTCGACCTTTTCTAACCCCCCTCCTTCCTTGTGAGAAGGCAGCATCACTGCAGATGCTGGTTGTCCGAGGGAAACACCTTACTGCTGTCACATCCCTCTGCAGTCAGCAGTACGACTTCGCCCTCAGAACTCAAGTTTCTGCTTTTAGTCTCATCGTTCTCCAATCGACCTGACTGGCATAGTAGGACCTACAGGAACATATGTTCGAGCCAATATAGGTCGGCTGGGTCATCACGACATGCAAGCCCGACCGCCACGTCAAGGTAGCAGCTACGGCCGGGAAATCTATTTAACCTGGCACATGATTGAGAAGACTAATTATGAATAAAAGGTTGTTGTTGGAAATAGAATAACTACAATTAATTCACCCTCAGTATATAAGGTAAGACCCTGACAAAGTACATAGTCAGCTTCTTCCAGTAGCATGATGCGTTTGCCATCTCTCTCGCTTTTGACGCTTGGCCTTGAGACAACATGCGGACACTGGCACTTAATGCATTATTTCATTCAGCCTGTTAGTTCTGTATCCGCCTGAATAAAGATAGGTGTACGTCATCCTCAGGAATGTACACCAACCACTTTACACGTGGTCAGACCGAGGACTTTCAAATTTTGCGTACAAAAGAATTTATATCGCTGACTTGGAATGTATCAGAACACACCAGCTAATATGTATATATATATATATATATATATATATATATATATCCAGCAAGAGTGAAGTTAGAAATGTGGAATGATACAATGAGCTTACTGTGAGACCATGAGGTACTGAACTCAATCCCTGGATGGTCGTGAGTTCACTCTTCTGAAAAATCTCAAACCATCACAAAACAGCTGTCTAAACCATCTTAGCCCGTATTGGTTCCCCCCACTCAATGTACTCAATACCCAACCAAGTCATAGATAGAAATATACAAACTAGAATCCAATATCAATACATTATCTAATCTATTTTTATCCATTAGAATTTTCATTAAATGTCAACTTCCGTTATCTCAATTATTTAATACTGGAAGTTATACAACTGGTCATATAATGAGATAACGGTAGAAATTTGGACCATAAATAAAATTCCTGATGTTTATATATTTCAGTGTTTCAAATAAACACATAATTTGTTGTCAGATTGATAGATTTACATTGATAAGCATTAAATAACGTTATGCAGTGCATAAAAAATGAACAAGGTTTTCAAGTCCTTAAAACTATATTAATGACTGATTCATAATGAGATTTGGTTGAGTGTATTGTTTATCTATTGTGAATAATAGTCAGTCGGTTACAACGTAGAGCTTCGTATACACGTACATCATCAATTCAAGTTGCCACACCACATTAACAAAGACAGATGGGATTGTCGATTAAAATCCCATATTAGTAGATGTAGTAGGAGAATGAACAGTACTCGGAAAGATCACGGTCCGAGGTTATCATTCAAGAAGTATACATAATCCCGTGGAATAAACTTAAAAACAAAAAGATAAAGGTGATGAGGAATTCAGACGATTAGTTTTCGAACGAACGCAAAGAATGGATGCACCTACGCGATTCCAGACGATTTTGAGCCATGTCGTTAAAGGTCTCTAATCGTCGGTTACTATCGTCTCGCGGACCTCAACCAGATAGTCTATTATACTTAACAACACGGCTCAGTCCACTTGTCAGTGACTTCATGGATTTCTGCCATGTTTTGGTTTGGCCGCCCATAACTTTCTTCCAACCTACTCCTACACCACAAAACATCGATCGTCAAGGCAGTCTGTGGTTAGGAATACACAACGCATGACCCAACCACCTCAAATGAAGTTTCGATACCTCATCTATTGTGAATAATGAACTTACGCTAGTAGAATTATAAAACCAAACCATTTAATTTTAGCTAATTATATTGTTGTCTTGTGGTTGTGATCTAGTGTAAACCTTAAGATACTCAAACATTTACAGACAACAATTGAGTTACTATATTACGACTGACCTTCCTTGAGTTCGACAACGGTAATTTGCACCCAACATGTGATAGCTAACGCAGTAAGAAGACAAATTCCAAAAGAAAACAAGCAGTAACAACAAATTGGTACAAATTTCGTAATGAAAGCACGAGAAATGAATTTGAAGCATACAGAAATTTAGCAAAAACAATAACAACCAATCAGAAAGCAAGGGTCATTTAGGGAAATTGAAATGTTCGAGAAGCGATCATTTCTGAAATAACTATTGTATATTTAACGAAATCTGATCGCCCAATACATCGATGATATTTCAATGCTAATGCCATAAATAAAATGATGTGTCATTGAGTAGTAAGTAGTAACCGAAATCCTATTTAGTTTTTGGGCATGATACTCGGATGCTGAGTCGAAGGTGTGCACAGTTGAGAACGAAATGGTCATTTATTATTTTCAGGTTTTCTAATAATGATTTAACTTAGATTTTAACTATAAAAACTTATATAAGTCTAGTTGATTGTGTTAATTTAATTGTATTTTTTTATCAAATTCAACATTCATCGTCCTCATTTTATAAAAAGGAAATACTGTTAGGATACTCACCAAATATCCTAAGAATACTATTTTTAAAAGTACAATCCTATTGGCCGAAATTATGATCGTTCTAACCGTCAAGGTCAAATACTTCAATGCTGCTTTTTATTGGTCATCTGGACTGTCAATGTCATTCAAATGTTCTTTTCTATTGGTCGGCCTAAACTGTCAATGTCACAGACGTTGATGCTCTTTATTATTCGAACTTAGTGTATAAATACGCACTATCTGAAAGACTTACTAATTCCGTTTCCCCTACCTACCTCTTCTTCTGTATTCGACCCAATAAACAACTTCCTTCCACGGTGTTGCGTTCTGATATCTACGAGATTCGGAAATAGCATTTTGGGTCGTATTGGGATATTTGAATTGGACGCCGTTAGGACTGAAGAGCTATACGTAGCAGCGTTACAAAGCATACACACACAGTTTATGTATGTCAAAATAAATAAAAACAATTCTACATTTTGACAAAATTTATTTGGACAATTTCAACAACAGATGATCAAAGAAATACAAATTTTATAAATAAATAAATAAAAAGATTATTAGAATTTTACACAATGAATTAATTATCAACTATTTACAGTAACGATCAGATTTCATTTTTTCACGTCTAGAAAAGAGAAGACAAGGAAAAAAAACAGACAAATGAAAATTGATTTCGCAAGTCAACCAGTCATATTTAAATGTATATCAAAGTGTATTTTAGAAATTCAGTTTATTGATAATATATGTGCCTTGGACAAGTAGACTAATTATTCAACTTTTTATAGAAGAGCTTAAAAAGACGAATAAATGTTTAATGCACTCTGTCTGTACGCAGACAACTTTAGTCTTACTTACTTGCTTACTTACACCTATTACCCCAGATGGAGCACAGGCCACCACCAGTTTTCTCCAACCTACTCTGTGTTCTGGGTTTCCTTTTCCAGTGCTGTTCAATTTTTGTTCATTCTTCTCATATATTTCTCTATTTCACTTGATTGTTTGGCCTTCTTCTTTTCCTTGCACCTTGAGGGTTCTAAGTGAGGGCTTGTCTTGTGATGCAGTTGCATACTTTCTGCAATATGTGTCCTATCCACTTTAACCGCTTCTTTCTGATTTCATCCTGCGCTGGAATCTGGCTTGTTCTCTCCTACAGTAGGTGGTTGCTGATGGTCTTCGGCCAACTGATCCAAAGTATTTTGCGTAGACAGCTGTTAATAAATACATATATCTTCTGGATGATGGCTTTCGTAGTTCTCTAAGTTTCCGCTCCATACAGTAGAACTGTCTTGACACTTGTAATTAAATTTTTGATTTTGATGTTTGTTAGCAGCTGATCGAAGTTCCAGATGTTCTTCAATTTTAGAAATGTTGTCCTTCCTTTCCCGATCCGCGCCTTCACATCTACATAAGATACACCTTGCTCAACAATGCTGCTGCCCAGATATGTAAAGATTTTCGCGTCCTCCAAAGTATCTCCATCAATAGTGATTTGATCGGTGCATGTTGTGTTGTATCGGAGAATCTTGCTTTTCCCTTTGTGTATGCTGAGCCAGATCATCAACAAAGTCCAACTGAATCCTGAGTTTCCACTGAATACCGTGCTTCCCTCCAGATGCTGACGTCTTTATAATCCAGTCCGTCACTAGGAGAAAGAGAACAGGTGAGAGTAAGCAACCTTGCTTGACACCGGTCTTCACCTCAAACGAGTAGTCTGTCAGCTGTCCTCCGTGCACGATTTTGAAGTTTAATCCATCATAAGAATTCCGTATGATGTTGATATGAATGTAATGTGTACTTCTTTTCAACAGAAAAAACAAATTGGTGAATTCCATGGCAGAAGAAGATATCATTTTGAAAACAATTAGTTTGTAAAACACTTAATTTAATTCTAATTGATTTTAATCATTCGAATTGAGAACAAATCTTGAAATTGCAACTTCTTATTGTCTGACAATAGTTGTGTGTATGCTGAGTTCTAGGAATTGCTGAATCTCCGACGAACAATTCAAGAACATAATACACTTTTTTTAAGGTCGACAAGTAAACAGCCTACCTGGCATGTCAATCAAATATCTATCACACTGTTGTGGTGTTTCGTTCTCTGAGCTGCATGTTTTGGTTGTGGAGCTTTCATTGTTTCTCGTCTGAACAACATCATCAGCAACACAAACTTCAGATAGAAGTGAAGTATGTTCCACAAGCTTACGTTTGAATTGCTAGCTATTATTATTCAGAAACGATTACTAATCATCTATTTGTCGCTTGTTTGATTCATTTCCACATTTGACCACTCTATGTATAAGCATCGTTTTTTATTTTACGGCATGATGTAATACTGTATGTGCGTTTGTAATAATAATAATAAGAATAAGAATAAGAATAATGACAGAAAAGTAAGCAGTTGTCTTCTCTTATTCAGACTCAAGGATAGGAATCGATCGGCCGACAGGACCGAAGTGTACGTTCATTTCAGTTCTAGGTTAGCCGTGTTTGCCTAACAGCAAGGCGTGAGACCATAGACTATAGACGGATAGCAAAATAATAACAGGAATTCTAATCGGCGAATCAATCAAATGGTATCGATAAATAACTCAGACACAACAGATACATACATAATCATGCTATCCAAAGTAAAGTGAAAACAAACCAGATTATAACAAAAGAAGAAATCAGGAAGAGGCACTGGAGGTGGATAGGAAAAACATTGCAGAAATCATCCAACTGCGTCACAAGGCAAGGCCCTCACTTGGAGTCCTCAAGGCCAAAAGAAAAAAAAAGAATACCAAAGAACACACAACGTTGAGAATCGGAAGCAGACTTGAAAATAATGAACATCTATTGCGTAGAACTAGAAAGGAAGGCCCAAGACAAAGTAGTGGGTTGGAGAATGCCTGAGGGTAACAGGTGCAAGTAGGTGGGTACAGTGTGGCTCATATCCAAGGATCAGGCGAATGACTTATTCTAAATAAAAATTTATAAGCTATATGATATATAGATTAAAACTAACTATATGATTGCGAATGCATTTTGTACGCTTTAATTTTGTGCAAAATATTCATTTTGTACAACATCACCTCACACTTAACATTTATTGATTCTATATTCATTACATTTAAACTATGTTCTGTGTTTTTTCACCAAAAAGTTATCGAGATTACTGAGTTTCATTGGAAATGCGAAACGATCATTGTTAGACCACCATTAAAAACCTGGAAGCACTGGAAAAATTATAAAATGTACTCATTAGTGACCAGCTTCGTGAAGAAATTCTCGGAGTTCTAGTAAGAAATCATGACCAACCATGTTGGGTGTAGGCAGTTACTCACCGATGACAACGGATGAGGTTGAGCAATACCTTGGATTGATTCAAGCTAGACATTAACATCGTTCGGATGCCGGTTCAGTGGTCTACAGGTTAAGCATTCGCACACGTGATCGAAGGTCATGGGTTCGACTCCTGAGTGTGAAGGTCATGGATGCGCACTGCTGACGTATCCCATAACCGAACGAAACGGCCGTCTCTCAGCTGATGTGTAATTAAATAAAGTTGTATCATGTATTGTTTCTGATTAATTGATCAAAATGAACAATAAAAACCCACAAGATATAGTTTAGTTTGAACAAATGAAATTCAACAATTTTAACTAGCAAGGATTCTTGGGGAAAAAAAGAACAAATTAACACACCGATCTAGTAGACATTCATATAAATTGCCAGAATGACGAGCACGTTTTACATCACTGAATTCTTCTTTGCTTAAACGAAGCTTTTGATCTTGCCAACTTTGAAATTTACGTCTACAAAATAGAACAGATTCAAAAATATTTGTTTTGTTCAATAATAAGAAATTAAACAGATGATTTGATTTGATTTTATAAATAATTACAATCTTCAAAAAGCAGCACATGTATAAACAAAAGAAAATTTGCATGATCATTACATTTCTCTTTATCAAACTCTAATGAAAACTGACATGAAGTATAGTGTAAACGATAGTGTTAATTAGGAATATAGAAATACAGTATCGAGGGAGCAATTAATATTATGAATTAGGTTTTATGATGAATAGTGAATTAGTTTTAAATTATTTTCAAATCATGAATCGACCAATGTTAGGCCACCATTAGAAACCTTGTAGCACTGGAGGACCGTTACGTCCTGGCATAAGACTCATCACCAATGCGCACCCACGACTCCTGCTACTCACAAAATTCGAACCAAGCACCAAGACAGGTCATCTGCGAAGTCCAGATCGTTCAGGAGCATCCCAACTGTCCAGTGTATTCCATGATCCCCCTGAGATGTTGACGTTATCATAATCCAGTCGATCACTAAGAGAAAGAGTAAGAGTAAGCGAACCTGCTTGACGCCCGTCTACAATGGGAACGAGTTTGTGAACTGACCCTTCATGCACGAGTTTGCAGTTAAATATATCGTAAGAGTTCACTACGACGATGACTATCTTCTCAGGCACACCATTATGTCGACGGGCTTCCAAAATGTCATCCTATCCACACTGTTGAATGCTTTCTATGAGTTAAGGATGTTGATATACAGTAGTGAATACCATTCAACTGATTGTTCCATAGTGATCCGTAGTGTTGAGTCAGATTTAGTCGGTATATGATTGATCCATACGCAAGCCAGATTGCTGATCCCAAAGCTGCGCGTCCACTGAACTTTCATTTCCTTCAACAACACTCTTTCAAAGACTCTTCCTGGTATTGAGAGAAGAGTGATGCCTCTGTAGTTCTCACACTTGCAATGATCTCCTTCTTTTTGTATCTTGACGAGGTCTCTTTCTTTCCAGTCTGCTGGTACTTGTTCTTCCTCTTAAATCTTGATGAACAGTGCGTGGAACATATTTGCAGTCACTGCTGCGTCAGCTCTCAATACCTTAAATGGGATGTTGTTTAGTCATGCTGCTTTGCCGTTCTCGATTTGTTTGATGGCCATAATGGTTTCTTTAATTGTTGATGGGTCAACATCAATGTCGGTGATTGGCTTTGCCTTCCTTGTTCTTTACCAGTCACTGTGGTTTACCGTATTTTTCAGTGGGCTTCGTTGTATGGTATGGTTGTTTCACGTTTCCGTCTCTTGCATCTTTTTTCGCCATCTTCAATTTACGGTAGACAATATCGATTTGTAATTCAACTGCCAGGTACATGTTTATGTACTCGAAATTCAACCATACTATACGAAGGCTAAAAATACTACTACCTAGGCTTCTTAAAGTAAAGTAGACAGAGCACAATCCGAGCATGTAACCCATTGGTCGAAAACTGAGTGTTCTATTCGCTAAGTCACTCACTTGAATACAAATATGAGTTGTATAGAAGATAGGAAAAAAGTAGATTAAACAGCAACTTACACATAATTAACTTCAGCTTTTTTTAAACCTTCTCGTTCCTCTTCTGGTATATCCAATAATGGATCATGAATGAGTGGTTTATTAGAACGAAACTATTGAGAAAGAAAAATGATAATAAAGTGTAGAAAATATCACGTTTATATCGATTCAAAGTTGTCGCATTATGCCAGTTCCTATAAGTTGAATGTTACTTATAGTAGAAATAAAAAAGTCCTATACACAGTTATCTATAATTAAAAATAAGGTGGAAAAGTCGCACAATATCGTAAATTGGCTAATGTTCGACATTAGTACCATGGGATGCGGGGTTCAGTGATCTAGAGGTTAAGTGTTCATGCGCGAGACCGAAAGTCCTAGGTTCAATTCCCGTTCACAGAGTCATGGATGCACACTGCTGATGAATCCCATACTAGAACGAAACGGCCGACTAATGCTTCGAAGTTTCCAGTAGTAGTTTAACACTGATCGGTTCATGATTTCAATGAAAAACAAAGCGGTACGTACTTTCGAAAAGTCACTTAAGTATTGTGTTACCACTGAATAAATGTTGAGGGGTCCCAGTAACACTCACCATTTATTTAAATGAAGTACGATAAAATAATGCTCAAAGTCACATTAAAACAAACTATCAATCTATGAAATTGCTTACAACTAGTTTTGGTTGTGCAGGAGAATGAAAACTTTTCCAATGATGTCTATATTTCAGCTAATTGGAAAGATTTATGCAATCATTCATTTAAAGATGATAAAGTTAAGACAACGCCTATAAGTCACATGCAGTAGAGTGTCACTTTGAAGTTACTGCCAAAGCGAAGAGTGACGAATCCGAAGACCATATGATATGTAGGAGAAGATAGATAAGAATGTGGTTTGCTTTGCGAATGGATGTTTGAAAATAAGGTGTACACATTTCAACTATTATACACTGCTCATTTATGACTTGTTCTCACTAGAATATTATAAACTTTTATATAACTAAACATAAATAATTCAAATATACATGCTCTGGTACAGTTGAGAGTGAGAAAAATGTGTTCTCTCTCTCAAAATGCTTCTATATGGCCGTGCGTACATAACCACTGACAGTGAAGTCCTACTCACTGCCTCCTTACTACATAGATTCTTTTCTTACCAAATCGAGAGGATGAAAAGCGAATACCCAGTTAGGACTTTAACACCACTGGTCACCAACTGCCATGGTACTGCATTTTCTGATGTTCAGCGCCACTGCCTTGTGGGCCGTATCACAGCCTACTCAAAAATTTAAGAAGTTGTCTAAGGTACATAACTATTTAAGTGCCCTATTGTACCATTGTTTACTATCCTAATTACTGACTAGATATTTTAATATCAAACTGATTTGCAAAAGAAAATGACATACAGCAACCATTTCATTAGTTTTGGCTTGTTGACTAATGAATGCAATATCATCTGTATTAGGATCCACTGAAAGGAAACAATTGTTTGCTCCTAGCATAGCACTACGACCATCTTGAAAAATTGGTTCGAATTGTTCAAAAACTCCAACAGCATCTGCTGTAGCAGTTAATGCACCATCGGATTTAACGGAAACACCAAGATATCTGCCATAACTATATTTATTTATTTTTAAACAAGAAACAAAATTAAGAAAAAGTATTGTGCTTATAGTAAAGAAAAAAATTAACAGTTTGCAAATAGAATAAAGCAAAGAAATATGACACAATACGAATCAACACTGATAATCAAGCTTTAATCCTCTATTAAATATGAATAAGCTTATAGTCGCTCTACCTTTAAACCACTTATTTGTTAGTTGACTAATAATCTCCTGAATTCCTCATCACCTCTGTCTTTCTGTTTCTAAATTTATTTCACTGAATTACACTTCTTGAATAATTTCTTGGGACCCTAATCTTCTCCATTACTGCTAACACTTCTACTAGCTCCACCACTATGGGATTTGAACTGACAATCACGTCTCTGTGCTAATGCGGTATGTACGTACGCACAAAGTTCTACGTTGTAACTGATTGACTGACTGACTGATAATCATGTTTAGATCAGTGTCCAATATTTTATAAGGATATCATTTCATTAAGATAGAACACATTCTACTAAGCAGCTATGCTGTCTACTGATAACGGCAAAGAGGGTGGCTAACGCTATAAAATTCAGCCTTGTAAGCGGTTGTTATCCATGCATAATGTATCGTCATCTCATAGAGTTCATTAGTTAGTGTTATTTTCTTTCTTCCAACTTGACAATCGGAAATTACAAGCTGAAATCTCCAATCAATCATTTTTAGACCACCATTAGAAACCTGTAAGCACTGGATAGCCGTCTCATCCTGGTATGGGACTAATCAGCAATGAGTTTGCACGCGAGACCGATGGTCCTGGGTTTGAGTCCCGCGAGATGCAAGAGTCGAGGATGCGCACTGATGATGAGTTCCATACCATGACGAAACGGCTGTCAAGTGCTTCCAGGTTCCTAATGGTGGTCTAACAATGATGGATTGATTGATGATCTCAACTTGTAAGAACACTGATCTCCATTACTCTAATTAAAAAAATTGGAAATTAGTTTACAAAATTCTACTCTATTGCGCTTCTATTTTTCTATTTAAAAAACTCATATTCACTCACCTGTATTTATCCATACTACTCGAAATGCATAGAACTCTTTCACAACAATAACAAGTTCGGATTCGAATGATGATCAAGTTAGGATGTCATTATAATGCAAATATTATTCAGGAACGAGGCCTTAGAATAATAAAACTTAATGGTGAAAATATCTTAGTTTTTTGGCAATCCTTTGCACTACCTCCAGTTATCTAACATCAATACAAACTAATACGATATTCATTTTCAAGTTGAATACAAAACGGTATTCCAGTAGAATAAACTTTATTATCCAAACATGTCCAATACAAACTAATTCCCTTTAAAGGGGATTTGGTTACAGACTCTATCAATCACAAATTAAGAAAAATTACATTGTAAAGCTTATTTAAGTTTATTCAGAAAAGAAAACAAACAAAAAAAACGGCTACTCACACAAACTAACCCAGATTTAAATGCAACTTTAGTATCCGAAACTTGCATCGCAGTGAAAATCTCCTCTGGAGCTGGTGGTTCACCATACTTTCTTGGTGGCCCAACAACAACCAAACCTTCATCGGTCGCTGATAAATAACAAGCAGTTGTAAACTGATTCTCATTATCAGAGTGTATCACTTTTTCAGGTTCATCAACTGTCTGTTTATCAATTGCAACATAAACTTGTATTGCTATTGAATCTTTGACTTCATCGAATTGTTTAGCAGACCACCAGCCACCATGTGCATCTGCTTCCAAGATACGTCCTGTTTTTTCAACTTTTAATTTTGATTCATGATGTCGTTTATGGTGTTTAGTTTTTTTCTTTTCACCTTTTAATTTCAATTTTCCAGGACGAACAAATGAATAACTGTCCATTGTTTGAAAACTGATGAAAGGTATTAAATATATCGACAAATATATTATATACTACATAAATTATGCATTCATTATCAATAATGTCAACGAATAATGATAATATTACACAAAAAATTAACCAAAAAAATACTTGCCATGAATACAGTAACTGTGAAGATTAAGTGAAAATAGTTTTACAAAATAGAAACCAACTATAATAACACTAGATAACTTCTGCCATTATGTCAATCTTAATCAACGTGAAGCCTGATAAAAATTATGTACTGAGCCAATTTATCATACCAAGTTTGCATAACAAGATGGAATAGGAAAAGAGTTAAAGGAAATGTAGTATTAATGATATTGAGAAAATAAGTATAGAGAATATGGCTCCGAAAGACAATAAACAGATACGTATGCAAGAATATTTCAATTCAAGACCGTGGGGAAGATAAAAGACGAATGTGTCTAGATTATTGTGAACAGTTCCAAGCAATGATGGGCGAAATGGTACAGCGAGGACAGCGTTTCTACAAGTGGAGAACAACTAGAACTCAAAACAACGGTCGACCAACATCAAATTGAGAATTTTCAACACAAATGTCAAGACATTTCTATTGTGTAGAGTGTAAACTAAAAGAACTATGACAGCCATGTTCCAAAAATTAAGGTGTTTAAAAACAGCTGTCTACGCAAGATATTTCGTCTCTGTTCGCCAGAAACTATCAGCAACAGTTTACTGTGACAGAAAACTATCCAGCTTCTGACCGATGAAGAAATTAAGGAGGTAAGATGTGGGTGCATAGGACACACATTGGTGAAATTATCCAACTGCGTCACCAGGCAAGCCCCAACTTAGAATCCTCAAGGTTGAGGGAAAAGAGATAGACCAAAGAACACAGTGTGCCGAGAATCGGGAGCAGACATCAAAAGAATGAAGGGCTATTAGGTGGAACTAGAAAGGAGAACGGAAGACAAATTTGGTTGGAAAATGCTGGTCAGTCGCATATGCTGCACGAGGGGTAACAGGCGTAAGTAAGCACTTCTGAATTACTCTTACTCAAGCAAGCATTGCTCGTCAGGTTAAGCTGTGATTAAGCATACATAACTCATATTCTAGTATTCTCAGTCGGTAAGAAGTCATATCCTCATCAACCGATTTACCACTTTAGCTTAATGCCATCGGGCTCGAACGCAACACTGCTCACTAGGTTGTTCCATAAAATGCGATCAATGCTGCAAAGGCCATGTTTCACGTCCAATAAATTATAACAGAAGCAGCCCATTTTGCAGTATTCTAATCCTTTGGTCGACTGAAAAAATTAACTGAGCTTTCTACATTTGTGCCGAGATTTCATCAGAGACCGGTGCTCCACGGCTGACGGTACTTTCAACGTAAATGAAGAGATCAAAGGACACAACTACTTCATTTTCTATCACTAAAACGCGATCTAGAGGAAAATGAATGTCCAGTAACAGTGTTCGAGAATTAATTTGTATATCTCTTTACTGTTCTTAACTAATTATACATCATATATAATACATAAGATAAAAATTAAGACCTAACATTCAGGTCATAACTTCCGTAGCATTACAGTGAACTACGGAATTCGCATCTATCAATGTCTCATGTTTTAACAGACTTATAACCATGTGTATTCTGTGCGTGAGTATATTATTATATTAGATGAAAAACTAGATCTGGTTGGTGATCTTGTCTATATTTGTGGGGCTGTGTCAATAACCTGACATTGCGAGTAATTGTTTTTCAGCGGTATCGCATTATTGTACATCAATAGTCGACTGGCACTGTGAACCACTTTGATTTTTCTCAAAGAAAGTGAATCCTACTTGGAAGAGAATCGCTAGCAATTTACTCCGCAATAAAGCATTTCCTGAAAATGCTTGAGGGCACCATTTCTACAGTGTATATTCACGAAAGCACTAAACGCCAGGTAGGATAATTATTTGCCAAGGGAAATTCGACAAATTGAATTTATTTCCTAATTTACGTCTAGCATACAATATACTAAAGGGAATAATAATGAAGTAGCAGATGCATTATCCGGAACGATGATAAACGCTCTCATCCAATCCGAAATCGATTATCACAAACTAGCAGAACTGCAAAAATATGGATGTTGAGTTAAGCAGACTAAAATCGACCAACAAAACTTCTTTGGTACTCAAAGAAACTCGACTCGACAAGGTAAGTATCACATGTGATGGTTCTATGGGCCGACTACAACCATTTATTCCGAAGCCATTAAGACGAAAAGTTTTTTAAACTATGCATAATATATCTCATCCTGGAATAAAGGCCACAATTAAACTAATCAGTGAGCGTTTTGTCTGACCAAATGTGAACCGGGATATTCGTAAGTGGATGCAAGCATGTATAGCATGCCAGAAAGTTAAGGTACATCGTCACGCTAGTTCCGCAGTAGGTCCTTTTCGTCACCCTGACAGCAGGTTCGAGCATATACACATCGATATTGTGAGACCACTGCCGATTTCAAATGGCTTTGGTTACGTTTTCACTTGCATTGACAGATTCACGCGATGGTCTGTAACAGTGCCCATAAAAGACACTTCAGCCGAAACTATAGCCAAAACCTTAGTGGAGTACTGGGTTTTTATCATGGAGTGTATGCTAATATTATAACCGATAGAGAGGTTCAATTCAAAAGTCACCTCTTCCAACAACTCACAGAGCTACTCGGAATCAAACGTATTCGCACAACATCCTACCATCCGATAGCAAATGGTATAGTAGAGAAATTACATTAGCAACTTAAAGCCTCTCTCACACCTGTTACCAGAAATAATAATTGGGTCAGCAAGCTTCCACTAGTCAAGTTGAGTTTAAAGTCGACAATTAAACAAGATATGGCATGTAGCCCAGCAGAGTTCGTTCATGGAACTACTGTCTACCAGGAGAGTTCTTCATTTCTGGTAAAAGTGTTCCAACTAATATAGCCAACTATGTAGGTCTAAAAGAACACATAAATGATCTAAAAATAACGCTTCCGAGGCAGCATCACTATCGGGTATTCATACCAAAGCAACTGAAAGAGTTTATCAGAAGGGATAATGTGCAACATCCCTTACGATCAACCTGCGATAGTCCATTCAAAGTGATTTGAAGAAGACTTACTATAGATAAAACTGGAAAAACGGATGT